TAAGGAGAGGGGGGAGGCACAACCACCATTTATATCAAATTTAGTGCAGAAGTCCATACTAAATTGGGATAAAATCCCTTGTTCCTACGATAGAATAAGGATTTTAAAGGTTTAACCTCTATTTCCTCCATTGGGTACGGCCTCTCTGTCCTAAGTGAGGCCATACCCACCGTTTATACAAAATTCAGTCCCCTTGGCCAAAGGATGCTGCAGACTAAATAGGATAAATCCCTTTAATCCTACGGTAGAAGACGGTTTTTACCTCTATTTCCCCTATTGTGACCCACCTCCCTGACCCCAGGGAGGCAATACCCATTGTTTATACAAAATGTAGTCCCCTTGGCCCAAGGATGCCGCAGACTAAATATGAATAAAATCTCTTCATCCCTATGGTAGAAAAGGAATGTTAAAGATTTTACCTCTATTTCCCCTGTTGGGTCTCTGCCCCCGGGCGGTCCAAATCCACCGTCTATAAAAAATTGAGTCTTCTTGACCAAAGGATGTTCCAGACCAAATTGGGAGAAAATCCCTTAATCCCTACGGTAAAAGAAAGATTTTAAATGTTTACCTCTATTTCCCCTATTCGACCTCACACCTGCCCACAGGGGGCCACATTTACCGTTTATACAAAATTCAGTGCCCTTGGCCTAAGGATGCTCCTGACCAAATTAAGTCAAAAGCTACTGGGCCGTTCAGGACTAGTAGCGTTTTAAAGAAAAAGTTGACGGACGGACGATGGACGGACGGACGGACGGAGGGACGACGGACGTTGCGGTACGGCATAAGCTCACCATGGTACGTCCTGCGGACCAGATGAGCTTAATACTTGTAAATGTAGTGAGAAAAATCTAACTTGTAGTTGTTCGTGTCTATCTAATCTACCTGTAAATGTACCTGGTAAACTATTAGTGAATTGTGTTTTTTCTTCTTAAATGAACTTGTGCTTATAATATATTTGTTACCCATGATTGTCTATTAAAAAGGCCAGCAGCTTTTCATTATTAAACACAAGTATGTGCTGTTAAATGCTGAAGAATGAACAGCTGCATGCACATATTTATACAAAGGATGATGTCACGTCTTTGTTTAAATCATATTATGTGTATAGCCTTTTTACCACTCTCGTGTCTATTTCCGTTTTGGACGTGATTCTATTTATACCAGTCACCAATCAATCCATTACTGTGTGTATTAATACGTATATTTCAGAACCGAAACCTTTCATAGCGAAACTTCAACAGGGTGATTTTTGAAAATCCTGAAATGAATTTTCAGGAATCAGAAATGTCTATTTTCGGTTGTCACATACGTATTACTGAAAAATCTTAAGTCAAATACTGTAAACAGTCAGAAACAAGAAATATATTCTATGAATTGTGGAGTTTGTATATATACACTATCATGTACCAAGTACATGTCAATTAAATATTAACAATAGTATCTAACACTACACACATATATCAAGGAGAAATATCCATTATTTACTACTCTAACACTCCTTCGCATATACAGCCACTTTAAACACATTTATGCAATCAGACATCATTATAATTAAAATTCGATATATATGATATCATAATGTCATAATTATCGTCCATTTGTTTTCAACATATGGAAAAAACATCATTTAAAATGTTCCAGTGACCTATCATAATATTGACCGATATAATTTTAATGTTCACATGAACCGTTATGTTTGTAAGGCAACCAGCTCTGATCAGAAACATTGAAAACTATAAGTACGTAAATCGACATATCATGACATATCTTTAACTACTTACACTTGGGCATCACATCCAGTCCTGGATCAATCCTGGGTAATATTTAAAGTTCCGGGATTCCCGAAACACATTTCTACTTCTCATTTCAAGTTCTGAATTGACAGCACAACACATATGCTTGCAGCAGTACTTTCGGTTTCGATTTTTAGAAACAGTTCGGTCTCGGTCTCAGTCAACACTTACTTATAGAAAACAGTCAACATTAACTTTCTTTTTCGTTTTAAAGTTGGCCTTTAATTGTCTTTTGTGAAATAGTTCGTGCTGTCCACATCACCTCAGTTTGATTGGGTTTGTTCATTGTCTGTATAATAACGGTATAAGAATGCTTGGTAATAAAAGTGGTAAAAGTACAAGATTGTCCATTATCAACGATTAAGTGGCAAAGCATAACCATATGAATAACACTTAATAAACAGAAAGGTATGTTGGCATGACGCTATATAATGTAGACGTTCATGTTTTAGCGGTAGTCTCACTCTAGCGATCGCTTTAAATATTGCGCTATATTAAGAATGCAGTCTTTGAAGCTTTGTTCTCTGTTACAATTTTAGGATGCGTCAATCCATCGATGCGCTTATCTTTAAAAACTCGATAATACGCTAAAATTTCAGTATGCTAAAATACATTGTAATTACGTTTACGGCATACACAAGTTTATAACGAGCAAGTTACATAAAAGTGTCCCTAAATCACCAACAACGATCACTGGAATGACACTTCATGTATGTTACCAGCAGGTATCATTAAAATGTTACTATATACAACCAACAAGCTACATCACCCTTATCCTCGATATCTAGGGGTTACGCTCACTTTTGTTGACATGTCATTTGTTTCAACAGAGAGGTTAGTATGAATGTAAAATCCATTTCTACTAATTTTATTATCATGTGTAAATTAATAGCTGTTTCACTCGTCGGATAGAACCTGTGACATGAAAACGATCTCAGGAAACAGTTGGCTAGACTGGTAATGATTGTGGTTTAGAAAAAATGGTTAACACACCATCGTTTTAATAATAATATGAGGGTAATGCACAGGATTGGCAACTCAACACTAAACAAACAAACATGGCTCATCGTCATTCTGCTAACTGTGTCATGTGGAAAATCTCTTTGGCTATTCACTAAGTTTTAGAATGCGTGTTCACCAGCTTGTGTCATTTTCGTGTACCAAAACAAATAAAGCAATACTATGTAAATTCAAACATGTTGATGTGGAATAGAATATGAAATATTTGTTTAAATTTTGATAGATACAAGTACTTTAATAGTCAAAATTCATTCATGTTTTTTTCTATCTTTTCAAGTTTTCTGTGTAAATCTTTCCGTTAGTCATAGTTAACCGAAGTTTCAAATAAGATGTGCTAACAATTCGGTATTTTTCTAAAAAAAATCACATTAAACACTGATTAAGATGGTATCAAGGAAATTGCAAGAGTTTGACCATACTGTGTAAAAGTCGAAATGCTCGTGTGTGGAAAAGTTAACGATGTGACTTTTTAAGATGATCGTGACGCGGACATTTTTGCGTTTGAAAAGTTCTGAAATCTGTATGTTTATATAATCTTTAAACTCATTGAGTGAATATTTGCGTGTTGATACTTTGAGTGGGAATATGAGTAAGTTTTATGTGAGACTGTGACCATGTCGGAGTCCGAAAAGGAATGGTATAGGAGATCGTGATGTTATCGCAACAGTAGTTATAATCTTAGTATTGATTTCCGAATCCGAGTTTGACTTATGCACTATATCGATGACAGACAGCATCATAGACTGTACATATCAGAGAAATACATGGCTTATTACGGATGTATTAGACATCACGTGTTTTCGTGTCATTACTCAAGAAGCATAACCACTACCTTCGTCTATCGATGAGCGTACGTTTATACATGTGTATAATAATCACAAACGCTAGCCGCGTCTGTCAATACACATTTAATCTTTTGAACTGAGGAAGGTTTGTTTATAACATGCCTGAGTTTTATGAAACTACTTATATTTGTAGTTCGATCCTTTGAATGTTTTTTGTTTGTTGAAAACGCAAGTAGGTTGAATTTGATATCATTTTATTATTGAATACATGTTTATTGACAGTCGTGGCTAGTTCCCGTGTATAGACTGTCCCGTTTTCCAAATTGTAGATAGAATCCGTGCTATATTGGACGCGTTATTCTCAAAAAATATTTTATATTAATATATATATTTATATCTATAAAAAATCTTTTATTTAAAAAAAACCCATAGTCAAATTTAAAAAAATATTTTTAACTCTGCGTACAGATATTTTTTGTGTGATAAACCATATTGTGAAAAGCGAACTCAATAAAAGAAAAACGTATTATGGATTATCCGATAGTTTATTATCACTTGCTGATCATGAGAGATGAACGTACTGAAACGCACACTAACGTTCGCTTACAGCAGAAAGCCCTCAAACACCTACTAATGTGATTCAATATACAGATACCTGATTTACATATGGACATGCTTTACAGGTAACACTGGTTTGTTTTTAAGTCACGCTTTAGATCACACAGTGGATGGTAAAGGAGGTGACACACAGATCAACTGTTTCTATTATAAAGCTGGCAAGGTGAAGTTAATTAGAAAGGGAGGAGTCGATTTACAAACAACACCAGACCCTAACGGTACGTACCAGATCGACATTCTGTGTGCGTATTTGTGTCAGAGTGGTGTTAAATGTTATATTACTGCATCTGTACAGACATAGTGTATGCTGATGTAGGAAGTGGTAGTCTAGTGGTCTGATATATACAAAGTGTTATCGGGTCACATTACAAGTACTTACAACCGTATTTCCTTAGCTGACTTCTAGCCTAATTATATATAAATCTATGTATAAACCGAAATCTCCACACTGTTATGTTCTTTTCAGGGATCACCTAGATACACGCACCAATGACTGTCACACGCGTTAACTAATTCGTTGTAGGCTGTGTGTTAGGCTGTAGAGGAAGTCGAGGTTAAACTGACATTTTAGTACAAGGCGTTGCACCAGACACACATGTAACGGAGTTCACACGCATTCAGACACAGGCAGCCTAAGGTATGTATCATATTTCAAAATGTCTGCATACTTTAAAAACGAAATATTTTAACTATTTTATTCATTCTTGATGACTCGACATGATGCCTTCATTACTATGATTCAAGCATTTACATGTACAAAGTAAACTAATAATCTAAATTATGTCAACAATCTCTGTATACTTTCTCGACGATAACACATTCAGTATGAAGCGTTCAACACAACTGTAGTTAGCCTGGTATTACGCCCTAGTCAGTATATCATGTATTTCATGAATACAAATGTATACCGGTTCATGAAGTAATAACCACTTGCTGATGCTAAGAGCACAAGTATGGTGCAGAGGAATGGGTACAATAGGCTATTAATCTGCCAAAAACTGCCCACCTGTCGTGATAAAGCTTCAACGAAGTAAAGATTCGCAGTCCTATTAACTCGATGTCAAGAACATGAAGTAAAATAATTCATCTTAGGTGTACCGGATAAGAGATATACATTCCCTTAATTGTACGAGATTGGATATACATTAGCATCAATTTAAGTCTGAACAACCCGATGACCAGTAGATATAGGTTATAGGACATACTGGGCTTTTAGCACACCTTCCGCAAAGTGCGTTCGGAGTTATACTAGGGCACAATACCTGTCGTCCGTTCAGCTGGCCGTCTGACGTCAACGACCTTTTTCATAATAAATGAATTGTTCTGACCCATACTAAATGCCAGTGTAGTTCAATGTGGGAAACTTCAAAACAAGCTCACCAACCATACCTTGTGTCACGATATTTGGGCATCAGCATGCTCATATGCATGCCCTTTACCTACATTCTAATGACATATGGGTGAACTTATATATATATATAAACGACCTTTCAAGAAAGGGGCGGCCTAAATTCAAGATATATTTTGAGATAGCCTATTGGAGTGTTTGGGTCCAAAGTTACTTCTCATCAGTAGAAAAGAGCATCCATTGTACATGTAGTTCCATTTACATAAAAATAATGCTTCAAAGATTTTGGTGAATAAGGTACAATAAAGAACAATAGTTACGTGGTTATAACGTAAAATGATTTCATTTCTTGTTGAAAACAACTTAAACAGAAAGTAGCTACATTTTGTAGAAGTGAAACATTAGAAGAGAACTATTAAATCATCTTGGAGTGTATACGCTATTCCTCTCGTTTAAACCGGATATGTCATCTGCTGTGTTTTTTCTGCAACCCAAACATGATTATACCTGATGGACCATAAAATGGAAGCAAAATTATTGCTATGGAACCGGCTTATTTTTGTGCATTATTTTCAAATTATCAAATTGCTTTCACACATGAAATTTACAGCTAACGCCTTTAATCCCTTGGTGTGGTATACCTTAACGCGTCAACACCTCATAGTGTAACTTGATTGTTGGGATGCAATTAATTTCTGTTTCCATTCAAGACAGTCTTGGTTGGTTTACAATTGGGTGTTAAGGCTTTTTTTATCTGTAGAAAAAGAGGTTCTCTATTAAGAGTATGGAAATATCTGTAATAAGTTACTGACTCAGCCTGTATTGTCGAAAATTTAAAGCCTGAAATGCATGGTGTATTTTGCAGTTTTTTAATCTACAAATTACAAAAAATCATTATGCAACTGTATGAATTGTGAAGGAGTAGGTAACATAATACACGCTCCAACATAAGATTCCCCTGACCATGTCAGTGTAACGGTGTTGGTATATGGTATATGTAAACATGAAAATCGTCCATTATTTTGTATACGACGTAAATAAAGTACTATAATAATTACTAGACATATTAGCATCTATTTGAAAATTGAATGAAGAAAGCCAAGTCGGTGCCTGCCACGTCCTTTAATGACCATAGTTGTTAATAGGACTTATAGCATACACAAACCAAACGAAAGAAACAAAATTGTTGAACCATATGGCCTTTCAGGACACGTTTTTTCAGAGATTAAAAAAATCAAATATGAAATGCTCCAAAACATATGAGGACAAGCAGAGAAAGGGGAAATGCGCTATAACTTTAACATTTTACTTTTGGTCACAACAGATAAAGTTTAGTATGTTCAGTGTTTCCCTCCTTAACGTAACTTTAAGAGGTCACCAAATACACTTGACACATACACCTGTATAATTATATAGTTAGTCGAAGCGTTACATCAAAGAATATGAATATAGAAGAACTTCAGAACAACTTTTCCTAACTCCTGGCATTTGGGAACGTATCTCTCAAAAAAGAAAGTCCGCTCGCGCAAGGTGACGTCCTCAACCGGAAGAAGCGTTCACACAAAAGTGATCCGCCTAAGAAAATAATCCTTCTGAAACAAATCAATATGAAGTTACGAAAACAATATTGTGAGGATAACAACACATTTTTAAGCGTAAATGTGCATATGGAAAAGCCAATGACGATAGTTTTAGTGTTCATTGTATTGCTTCTCGAAAATATACTATTTGTTTGTCACAGACCGAGGATTTTTGATCGATGACCATTGAACTTAGACATTCGGAAAGTATGATATTTAATTGACCTTTATAAATGGTGAAGACTATAAGGTAGTATAATATAGATGATAAAGTACAGTTTATCACACAGTATTTTCAGTGTTTGTCGTTCGAACAATTTTCTCATCGCTCGCACGTGGATAAAATCTCGAGTCCACCTGCGATTCACGTGCTGGTGATGAGAAAATTGTTCTCACGACAAAACCACGAAAATACAGTGTGATCATCTATAATTATCAAAGCGTGCAGCTTCTTTCGAACCATCTTTTTCCGCCTGTGTTGTCTCATGAATGAATCAGAATGGTGGTCATGGCGACAAATTCATCTAGCGACTCCGTTTACAATCGATTCTAGATTTATCATGTTGTTGTCGAACATGGGGAGAAACTATATGTACATGTATATATTTGACTGATTTGTAGCGGCAAAGTTCATGACAGCCACGAATATGATATTTATCACTTTGTTTCCATCCCGTGAATCATGTATAACACCATGGTTACTAAGAATTTAAAATAAATTACATTTATATTGCGTGCATATAAACTGTTAAGTTTATACGGTGTAATACGGACAAGTATCGACTATATCCTGCTATACTGGTATGTATGTTGTTAAAGAGTTTACGTACCTTTACAGACGATGACGATTGAGTCGGAGAAGAGACGTCATCGTCGAGCAAACAGCGATGGCGGTCGTGACGTCAGGGTGAGGATGAACTGTCGAAAACATAGGCGGCCTCTCAGCATACCCCTACGACAGTTCGATTCTATAGGTACATAGGCCATATTGGCTGCTTCATTGACGCTTACACTTCCGAAATTTCCTAGGCTTACCTCTGAATATGTGTAGGTGTTTCGTGTTGTTTTCGCAGTATCTTGGTGTCATCTCAGTCCCTCTTTTGTCTTTATATATCCGATTTCGAGTTCTGAATTTGTCCAGGAATGTTGATGCTTTGAAGTATTTTTCCATATGTTAAAACGATTCTTTTTCATAGTAGTAATGAACAAGATTTCACGAGTTTAACTATGTTCAAATGTCGCATTAACTTTGTTTGGTAAGTCTTGACGTTACCTGAACAAGGTTCAATAATATAAGGTCATTATAGGGCAAGTCTTAAATGTCTATCAACACAATAAGGTCATAAAGGGCAACACTATAGTGTCATACAGAGTCGCATGGTAGTCTGAACGGCCCATCAATACATCAAGGTCATACAGGATTACCCGTTAGTCTGAACGGCCCATCAACACAATAAGGTCATACAGAGTCACACGGTAGTCTGAACGGCCCGTCAATACATTAAGGTCATACAGGATTACCCGTTAGTCTTAACGGCCCATCAACACATTAAGGTCATACAGAGTCACACGGTAGTCTGAACAGTACATCAATATAATAAGTTCATTCAGATTCACACGGTAGTGTTAACGGCCCATCATCACAATAAGGTCATACTGGGTCACAAGGTAGACTAAACAGTCCATCAACACAATAAAGGTATAAACTATTTAGGATGGGTAGATCAATGATATGAGGAAACTCATAGAGGAAACTCATAGATTTTGCAAGGGGACGCAAAGTCTGCTTTTAATTAAATAAATACGCCTTTGAATTGTTCACCAAAATAAACTATAGAATGCATTGATAATTCTCATATACGTATTAATTATAAAATAATGTGAAATATATTTAAATTGGATTTAAACAAGATTCTTGCCTTTAAATACCGTTCATTTAATATATTTATTTTCTATAAACTAAAGGATTTCGATGATAATTGTGTGTTTTCATGTATCGCAAAAATGCACTCAAATAATCTCAGTTATTTATACTTTTGAATCAAACTATTTGAAACTGCCGATCATCGAATGGAGAAATATGGATATGGTGTTAAATTACCCCATGTGATTCTTTTCTTTTTTTGTAGTAATATTAACGTTGTTAGCATGCTATACACATGTAACTACATGATTATTGCTGTTGCAGTCCTCAATGACGATGGGGGTTTATTGGACTCTGATCGTTTCCATGTCAGCCCCTCCCAGACATCAATGGTGGCCGACCTCGGGGATGTGGCTATGGACGACTCATTCCAACGAGAGGTAGGTCGCTCTTTGTTACAATGTGAGGTAGGCCAGTTTCGTTCCAATTGGAAGTTGGCCACAAGCCTCAAATGAGTAGTAGGTCGGGAATGTGTTACCATGGACGGTAGGTCGTTGGACTGTTTCCATCTTGAAGGAACTGGACTCGTTCCAACTGAAGATAGGTCACATAACTCGTTTCCAACTGGAGAAAAGTCAATGTAATCGTTTTAGAGCGCGGTACGTTTTGACTTGGTTTTACGCATGTGAAGTGGATCACATTATGTCTTCGGTTTTGCAGGAGGAGATCTGAATGCTTATAGCACTCTTTCTTTTGAAAAAGGGATATTAGTGTATATTTAAAATGAAATTGTTTCCATCTTAATTTTCTTATCTGTATAGCACCACTATTTATTGCAGGTAGCAGAGAAGACCAGGCTTCTTTTTATAGGAAAGCAAGAGGCTGAAATAGAGGTGTTTATCGACAGAATTATAGCCCGGGAAGGCAACAAGGACAGAGCATTACTACACGTGGTCTCTACCATCGACAATGAACCAAGAGTTGGTACCGCTAGTTAGCATGATGATACCAGTAACATGGAATGAAACCGAGATTCAAATCACTTTCTGAGTTTACATAAATGAAAACAATATTCTTGACCCATTTTTACTAATATCTGACAATATATCAATTATTCATTCTTTCCTGAACAACTTTCTGTTATGGCTGAATATTCGCTTTGCTCGTTCCTGCATTAACTATTTACCATTAATATGAAATGATAAAATGCCCTAATTCCTAATAACATTACTGTGTTTACTAGGTTCAGATGCTGATAAACACCCTTCTTCACAGGGGTGCCAATCCCTCGGCCAGTGACCAACACCTGCGGACACCCCTACACTACGCTGTAGAGAAGGACTTTAAGGGCGTGTGTGTCAAGCTGCTGGAGCATGACGCGTGGCCGAATGCACGTGATCACGACAATGTTATGCCATATACAACAGCATACGACATCGGCAACGACGATGTGGCGTCCCTGTTGATACTTTACATGCCAAATATCGAGTGAGTAGCCTATATATATATACTAGATTATAAGTTATAAGGATATACCAACCTGGAAATATATGTTTTCTTTTTGTATACGTTGTTTTGTAAAGGCAATGGTTATTAGCTAGGTATTAGTTTTTCTTTTTATTATTTGTCTTTTCGATGGACCATCGGATATTACGTGTTTGAAATATGCCTGCATACACAGGGAATGTATTTCCAGAAGCATGTCATGTTACAAATGGTTGATCATATTTATTATATTGTACAGATGTAAATTGTCACTGGCATTTTTGCAGGGTGAGGCAACTATATACCAGTGATGGAAACAAAGCCGCAGAGTTCAGTTTTCACACACTCCTACGAAAAAATATGCAAGTAAGTTTTTCTTCGACTTTGTAGGTCTTAAAATTAAAATAGTTTTCTTAATTCATAATTATTAAAAGAGCATGCCAATTAATTCTGTATGTTTGATATTTGTTCAATGCCTTTGGAAAATCAAAAAGATACATCACAACTGTCTATCATTTAAGTCGTTTGTAATTTTATCATATTTCGTAGAAAACAGTTTTAGCAGTATTAGATTGCATGATTGACCATCACAGTCCGAGCGGTCACGTACGCGTGTACTATCAAGTGTTAGATGGGGACGAAGAGGGAAGATCACCATTACAGGACGGGTTTAACAGAAATTCTAAGTCATCCCTTCAAATACTTGCAAAGGAAGGTAACAAGGTAAGACGTCTTTAAAGGTATTTTTGTAATTAATCCTATAATTGTTTTTAAAAATGATCAATAATATGAACATGCATTGCTGGTAATTAGACATATCCTCATGATAAGACGACCAATGTATGGTAAATTTAATGCTTCATTTGTTTCCAGAATATCGTCTACCATGACGTGGTCCGTCTGCTGATCAGGCGAAAGTGGAAGAAGTATGCTAGATTACGTTTCGAGTGAGTAAACAACATGCATTTCTTTAAAGATTATTCATAAGCTGTTACAGGCTAACCCTCGTTTCAAAGAGCAGTAGGTTCGGTAATGTTAACAAGTGGTTATATCACGATATACTAATTTGGTTTGTAAACTGCAACATTGTAGGGATCGGTGTTTGTTACTAGTTGGTGTATAAACTGCTACATTGTTAAGATCTGTGTTTGTCACTAGTTAGTGTATAAACTGCTACATTGTAAGGATTTGTGTTTGTTACTTGTTGGTGTACAAACTACTACATTGTTAAGATCTGTGCTTGTTACTAGTTGGTGTACAAACTGCAACATTGTAAGGATCGGTGTTTGTTACTAGTTGGCGTACAAACTGCTACATTGTTAAGATCTGTGTTTGTTTTTTGTTGGTGTATAAACTGCTACATTGTTAAGATCTGTGTTTGTCACTAGTTAGTGTATAAACTGCTACATTGTAAGGATCTGTGTTTGTTACTTGTTGGTGTACAAACTACTACATTGTTAAGATCTGTGTTTGTTACTAGTTGGTGTACAAACTGCAACATTGTAAGGATCGGTGTTTGTTACTAGTTGGTGTACAAACTGCTACATTGTTAAGATCTGTGTTTGTTACTTGTTGGTGTATAAACTGCTACATTGTTAAGATCTGTGCTTGTTACTAGTTGGTGTACAAACTGCAACATTATTAAGATCGGTGTTTGTTACTAGTTGGTGTATAAACTGCAACATTGTTAAGATCTGTCTTTGTTACTAGTTGGTGTATAAACAGCTACATTGTTAGGATCTGTATTTGTTACTAGTTGGTGTACAAACTGCAACATTGTTAAGATCTGTGTTTGTTACTAGTTGGTGTATAAACTGCTACATTGTTAAGATCTGTGTTTGTTACTAGTTGGTGTATAAACTGCTACATTGTAAGGATCGGTGTTTGTTACTAGTTGGTGTATAAACTGCTACATTGTAGGGATCTGTGTTTGTTACTAGTTGGTGTACAAACTGCAACATTGTAAGGATCGGTGTTTGTTACTAGTTGGTGTACAAACTGCTACATTGTTAAGATCTGTGTTTGTTTTTTGTTGGTGTATAAACTGCTACATTGTTAAGATATGTGCTTGTTACTAGTTGGTGTACAAACTGCAACATTGTTAAGATCGGTGTTTGTTACTAGTTGGTGTATAAATTGCTACATTGTAAGGATCGGTGTTTGTTACTAGTTCGTGTATAAACTGCTACATTGTTAAGATATGTGCTTGTTACTAGTTGGTGTACAAACTGCAACATTTTTAATATCGGTGTTTGTTACTAGTTGGTGTACAAACTGCTACAATGTTAAGATCTTTGTTTGTTACTAGTTGGTGTATAAACTGCTTGTTAAGATATGTGCTTGTTACTAGTTGGTGTACAAACTGCAACATTGTAAGGATCGGTGTTTGTTATTCGTTGGTGTATAAACTGCTACATTGTTAAGACCTGTGTTTGTTACTAGTTGGTGTATACACTGCTACATTGTTAAGATCTGTTTGCTACTAGTTAGTGATTAAACTGCTACATTGTTAAGTTCTTTGGTTGTTACTAGTAGGTGTATAAATTGCTACATTGTAAGGATCGGTGTTTGTTATTCGTTGGTGTATAAACTGCTACATTGTAGGGATCAGGCTTGTTACTAGTTGGTGTACAAACTGCTACAATGTTAAGATCTTTGTTTGTTTCTAGTCTGTGTATAAACTGCTACATTGTTAAGATCAGTGTTTGTTACTAGTTGGTGTATAAATTGCTACATTGTAAGGATCGGTGTTTGTTATTCGTTGGTGTATAAACTGCTACATTGTAGGGATCAGGCTTGTTACTAGTTGGTGTACAAACTGCTACAATGATCGGTGTTTGTTACTAGTTGGTGTACAAACTGCTACATTGTTATGATCTGTGTTTGTTTTTTGTTGGTGTATAAACTGGTACATTGTTAAGATATGTGCTTGTTACTAGTTGGTGTACAAACTGCAACATTTTTAATATCGGTGTTTGTTACTAGTTGGTGTGCAAACTGCAACATTGTTAAGATCTGTGTTTGTATTAGTTGGTGTATAAACTGCTACATTATTAAGATCTGGGTTTGTTACTAGTTGGTGTATAAACTGCCACATTGTTAAGATCTGTGTTTGTTTTTTGTTTGTGTATAAACTGCTACATTGTTAAGACCTGTGTTTGTTACTAGTTGGTGTATATACTGCTACATTGTTAAGATCTGTTTGTTACTAGTTGGTGTATAAATTGCTACATTGTAAGGATCGGTGTTTGTTACTAGATGGTGTATAAACTGCTACATTGTAGGGATCAGGCTTGTTACTAGTTGGTGTACAAACTGCAACATTGTCAAGATCTGTGTTTGTTACTAGTTGGAGTATAAACTGCTACATTGTTAAGATATGTGCTTGTTACTAGTTGGTGTACAAACTGCTACATGGTTAAGATCTGTGTTTGTTACTAGTTTGTGTATAAACTGCTACATTGTTAAGACCTGTGTTTGTTACTAGTTGGTGTATATACTGCTACATTGTTAAGATCTGTTTGCTACTAGTTAGTGATTAAACTGCTACATTGTTAAGTTCTTTGTTTGTTACTAGTAGGTGTATAAATTGCTACATTGTAAGGATCGGTGTTTGTTACTAGTTGTTGTACAAACTGCTACATTGTTAAGATCTGTTTGCTACTAGTTGGTGTTTAAACTGCTACATTGTTAAGTTCTTTGGTTGTTACTAGTAGGTGTATAAATTGCTACATTGTAAGGATCGGTGTTTGTTACTAGTTCGTGTATAAACTGCTACATTGTTAAGACCTGTGTTTGTTACTAGTTGGTGTATAAATTGCTACATTGTAAGGATCGGTGTTTGTTATTCGTTGGTGTATAAACTGCTACATTGTAGGGATCTGTGTTTGTTACTCGTTGGTGTACAAACTGCAACATTGTCAAGATCTGTGTTTGTTACTAGTTGGAGTATAAACTGCTACATTGTTAAGATATGTGCTTGTTACTAGTTGGTGTACAAACTGCTACAATGATCGGTGTTTGTTACTAGTTGGTGTATAAACAGCTACATTGTTAGGATCTGTATTTGTTACTAGTTGGTGTACAAACTGCTACAATGTTAAGATCTTTGTTTGTTACTAGTCGGTGTATAAACTGCAACATTGTTAAGATCTGTGTTTGTATTAGTTGGTGTATAAACTGCTACATTCTAAGGATCGGTGTTTGTTACTAGTTCGTGTATAAACTGCTACATTGTTAAGACCTGTGTTTGTTACTAGTTGGTGTATAAATTGCTACATTGTAAGGATCGGTGTTTGTTACTAGTTCGTGTATAAACTGCTACATTGTTAAGACCTGTGTTTGTTACTAGTTGGTGTATGAACTGCTACATTGTTAAGATCTGTGTCGGTTACTAGTTGGTGTATAAACTGCTACAATGTTAAGATCTTTGTTTGTTTCTAGTCTGTGTATAAACTGCTACATTGTTAAGACCTGTGTTTGTTACTAGTTGGTGTATGAACTGCTACATTGTTAAGATCTGTGTGTGTTACTAGTTAGTGTATAAACTGCTACATTGTTAAGATATGTGTTTGTTACTAGTTGGTGTACAAACTGCTACATGGTTAAGATCTGTGTTTGTTACTAGTTTTTGTATAATCTGCTACATTGTTAAGATCTTTGTTTGTTACTAGTCGGTGTATAAACTGCAACATTGTTAAGATCTGTCTTTGTTACTAGTTGGTGTATAAACAGCTACATTGTTAGGATCTGTATTTGTTACTAGTTGGTGTACAAACTGCAACATTGTAAGGATCGGTGTTTGTTACTAGATGGTGTATAAACTGCTACATTGTAGGGATCTGTGTTTGTTACTAGTTGGTGAATAAACTGCTACATTGTAAGGATCGGAGTTTGTTACTAGTTGGTGTATAAACTGTTACATTGTTAAGATCTGTGTTTGTTTTTTGTTGGTGTATAAACTGCTACATTGTAGGGATCTGTGTTTGTTACTCGTTGGTGTACAAACTGCAACATTGTTAATACCGGTGTTTGTTACTAGTTGGTGTACAAAACTAGTTGGTGTATAAACTGCTACATTATTAAGATCTGGGTTTGTTACTAGTTGGTGTATAAACTGGTACATTGTTAAGATCTGTTTGCTACTAGTTGGTGTATAACCTGCTACATTATTAAGATCTGTGTTTGTTACTAGTTGGAGTATAAACTGCTACATTGTTAAGATATGTGTTTGTTACTAGTTGGTGTACAAACTGCAACATTGTAAGGATCGGTGTTTGTTACTAGTTCGTGTATAAACTGCTACATTGTTAAGATCTGTTTGCTACTAGTTGGTGTTTAAACTGCTACATTGTTAAGTTCTTTGTTTGTTACTAGTAGGTGTATAAATTGCTACATTGTAAGGATCGGTGTTTGTTACTAGTGGGTGTACAAACTGCTACATTGTTAAGATCTGTGTTTGTAACTAGTTGGTGTATAAACTGCTGCATTGTTAAGATCTGTGTTTGTTACTAGTTGTTGTACAAACTGCTACAATGTTAAGATCTTTGTTTGTTACTAGTTGGTGTATAAACTGCTACAATGTTAAGATCTGTGTTTGCTACTAGTTGGTGTATTAACTGCTACATTGTAAGGATCGGTGTTTGTTCCTAGTTGGTGTATAAACTGCTACATTGTTAAGATATGTGTTTGTTACTAGTTGGTGTATAAACTGCTACATTGGAAGGATCTGTGTTTGTTACTAATTGGTGTATAAACTGCTACATTGTAAGGATCTGTGTTTGGTTTGTTACTAGTTGGTGTACAAACTGCTACTTTGTTAAGATCTGTGTTTGTTACTAGTTGGTGCATAAACTGCTACATTGTTAAGATCTGTGTTTATAAACTGCTACATTGTTAAGATCTGTGTCGGTTACTAGTTGGTGTATAAACTGCTACATTGTTAAGCTCTGTGTTTGTTACTAGTTGGTGTACAAACTGATACAATGTTAAGATCTGTGCTTGTTACTAGTTGGTGTATAAACTGCTACATTCTAAGGATCGGTGTTTGTTACTAGTTGGTGTATAAACTGCTACATCGTTAAGATCTGTGTTTGTTACTAGTTGGTGTTCAAACTGCAACATTGTAAGGATCGGTGTTTGTTACTAGTTCGTGTATAAACTGCTACATTGTTAAGGTCTGTGTTTGTAACTAGTTGGTGTATAAACTGCTACATTGTTAAATCTGTTTGTTACTAGTTGGTGTATAAACTGCTACAATGTTAAGATCTGTGTTTGCTACTAGTTGGTGTATTAACTGCTACATTGTAAGGATCGGTGTTTGTTACTAGTGGGTGTACAAACTGCTACATTGTTAAGATCTGTGTTTCTTACTTGTTGGTGTATAAACTGCTACATTGTTAAGATATGTGTTTGTTACTAGTTGGTGTATAAACTGCAACATTGTAAGGATCGGTGTTTGTTACTAGTTAGTGTACAAACTGCTACATTGTTAAGATCTGTGTTTCTTACTTGTTGGTGTATAAACTGCTACATTGTTAAGATATGTGTTTGTTACTAGTTGGTGTATAAACTGCTCCATTGTAAGGATCGGTGTTTGTTACTAGTTGGCGTACAAACTGCTACATTGTTAAGATCTGTGTTTGTAACTAGTTGGTGTATAAACTGCTACATTGTAGGGATCAGTGTTTGTTACTAGTTGGTGTATAAGTTGGTGTACAAACTGCTACATTGTTAAGATCTGTGTTTCTTACTTGTTGGTGTATAAACTGCTACATTGTTAAGATCTATGTGTGTTACTAGTTGGTGTATAAACTGCTACATTCTAAGGATCGGTGTTTGTTACTAGTTGGTGTACAAACTGATACAATGTTAAGATCTGTGCTTGTTACTAGTTGGTGTATAAACTGCTACATTTTTAAGATCAGTGTTTGTTACTAGTTGGTGTACAAACTGCTACATTGTTAAGATTTGTGTTTGTTACTTGTTGGTGTATAAACTGCTACATTGTTAAGATCTGTTTGCTACTAGTTAGTGATTAAACTGCTACATTGTTAAGTTCTTTGTTTGTTACTAGTAGGTGTATAAATTGCTTCATTGTAAGGATCGGTGTTTGTTACTAGTTGGTGTTCAAACTGCTACATTGTTAAGATCTGTGTTTGTAACTAGTTGGTGTATAAACTGCTACATTGTAGGGATCAGTGTTTGTTACTAGTTGGTGTATAAACTGCTACATTCTAAGGATCGGTGTTTGTTACTAGTTGGTGTACAAACTGCTACATTGTTAAGATCTGTGTTTCTTACTTGTTGGTGTATAAACTGCTACATTGTTAAGATCTATGTTTGTTACTAGTTGGTGTATAAACTGCTACATTGTAGGGATCAGTGTTTGTTACTAGTTGGTGTATAAGTTGGTGTACAAACTGCTACATTGTTAAGATTTGTGTTTGTTACTTGTTGGTGTATAAACTGCTACATTGTTAAGATATGTGTTTGTTACTAGTTGGTGTATAAACTGCTCCATTGTAAGGATCGGTGTTTGTTACTAGTTGGCGTACAAACTGCTACATTGTTAAGATCTGTGTTTCTTACTTGTTGGTGTATAAACTGCTACATTGTTAAGATCTATGTGTGTTACTAGTTGGTGTATAAACTGCTACATTGGAAGGATCTGTGTTTGTTACTAATTGGTGTATAAACTGCTACATTGTAAGGATCGGTGTTTGTTCCTAGTTGGTGTATAAACTGCTACATTGTTAAGATATGTGTTTGTTACTAGTTGGTGTATAAACTGCAACATTGTAAGGATCGGTGTTTGTTACTAGTTCGTGTATAAACTGCTAAATTGTTAAGATCTGTGTTTGTAACTAGTTGGTGTATAAACTGCTGCATTGTTAAGATCTGTGTTTGTTACTAGTTGTTGTATAAACTGCTACTTTGTTAAGATCTGTGTTTGTTACTAGGTGGTGTATAAACTGCTACAGTGTTAAGATCTGTGTTTGTTACTAGTTGGTGTATGAACTGCTACATTGTTAAGATCTGTGTTTGTTCCTAGTTGGTGTATAAACTGCTACATTGTTAAGCTCTGTGTTTGTTACTAGTTGGTGTACAAACTGCTACATTGTAGGGATCGGTGTTTGCTATGAGTTGGTAAATAAACTGCTACATTGCAAGGATCGTTACTAGTAGGTGTATAAATTGCTACATTGTTAGGATCGGTGTTTGTTACTAGTTGGTGTACAAACTGATACAATGTTAAGATCTGTGCTTGTTACTAGTTGGTGTATAAACTGCTACATCGTTAAGATCTGTGTTTGTTACTAGTTGGTGTTCAAACTGCAACATTGTAAGGATCGGTGTTTGTTACTAGTTGTTGTACAAACTGCTACATTGTTAAGATCTGTGTTTGTTACTAGTTGATGTATAAACTGCTACATTGTAAGGATCGGTGTTTGTAACTAGTTGGTGTATAAACTGCTACATTGTTTAGATCTGTGTTTGTTACTAGTTGGTGTACAAACTGCTACTTTGTTAAGATCTTTGTTTGTTACTAGTTGGTGTATAAACTACTACATTGTTAAGATCTGTGTTTGTTACAAGTTGGTGTATAAACTGCTACATTGTTAAGAACTCTGTTTGTTACTATTTGGTGTATAAACTGCTACATTGTTAAGACCTGTGTTTGTTACTAGTTGGTGTATAAACCGCTACATTGTTAAGATCTGTGTTTGTTTCTAGTTGGTGTATAAACTGCTACATCGTTAAGATCTGTGTTTGTTACTAGTTGGTGCATAAACTGCTACATTGTTAAGATCCGTGTTTGTTACTAGTTGGTGTATAAACCGCTACATTGTTAAGATCTGTGTTTGTTTGTAGTTGGTGTATAAACTGCTACATTGTAGGGATCAGTGTTTGTTACTAGTTGTTGTATAAGCTTCTTCATTGTTAAGATCTGTGTTTGTTACTACTTGGTGTATAAACTGCTACGTTGTTAAGATCTGTGTTTGTTACTTGTTGGTGTATAAACTGCTACATTGTAAGGATCTGTGTTTGTTACTAGTTGGTGTATAAACTGCTGCATTGTAGGGATCAGTGTTTGTTACTAGTTGTTGTATAAACTGCTACATTGTTAAGATCTGTGTTTGTTACTAGTTGGTGTATAAACTGCAACATTGTAAGGATCGGTGTTTGTTACTAGTTGGTGCATAAACTGCTACATTGTAAGGATCGGTGTTTGTTACTAATTGGTGTATAAACTGCTACATTGTAGGGATCAGTGTTTGTTACTAGTTGTTGTATAAACTGCTACATTGTTAAGATCTGTGTTTGTTCCTAGTTGGTGTATAAACTGCTACATTGTTAAGATCGGTGTTTGTTACTAGTTGGTGTATAAACTGCTACATTGTAAGGATCGGTGTTTGTTACTAGTTGGTGTATAAACTGCTACATTGTTAAGATCTGTTTGTTGCTAGTTGGTGTACAAACTGCTACATTGTTAATATCTGTTTGTTACTAGTTGGTGTATAAACTGCTACATTGTTAAGATCTGTGTTTGTTACTAGTTGGTGTAAAAACTGCTACATTGTAGGGATCTGTGTTTGTTACGAATTGTTGTATAAACTGCTACATTGTAGGGATCGGTGTTTGCTATGAGTTGGTAAATAAACTGCTACATTGCAAGGATCTGTGTTTGTTACTAGTTGGTGTATAAACTTCTACATTGTAGGGATCGGTGTTTGTTACTAGTTGGTATATAAACTGCTGTATTGTAGGGATCGATGTTTGTTACGAGTTAGTCGTTACTGCATATCCTTTGTCAAAATAAAACATATCTCCTTTTTTTTTGCAGATTGAACGCGCTAGTATATTTTGTAACCCTGATTGCAATGATATTCTCGGCGATCGTGTCCGCTACATCTCCGAACCCGTTGCTGTATGATTCCTCGCTACAAATCGGACGGGGCGTGTGTGAAGCGTGGACCATATGTATCATACTGATGACACTTTTCCAGGAGTCGAATCAACTACGAAAGTATGTCATGTGTTTAGTTAGGAAATGACACAAAATTGTGTTTGTTTTGGTTTTATTCATTTATACTGTCGAATTAATTCATTTGTTGATTTTCACTAAATCAAATGCACGTGCGATGTAACTAGGTATTTTAGGCAGGGAGTCCTTAGTGTAAAAGTATAATTGGTGCTTATCTAAATAGCCAGAAAATATATATTTTCACGAAACTTAAGTTATCATGTACTTTGGACAGTAAGCCGATGACATTACTGAAGACAAAAATAAGACATCTACAACAGTAATTGATTGTTGGACATTTACCGATACATGTAGCGTGTACTTAATAGACAGTGTAGATATAAACATTGTAACTATGTAGGATTTACAATCAAGTATTGACCTAGAGGAACCAAAGATAGTCATGCATTATAATCTTAACACTGTTACAGACAGCGCCTAGAGTACTGGACGGACGCCTTTAACTGGATAGACATGTCGTCTGCGCTCCTCCTTGCCACGGTGGTACCTCTCAGAATTACGGAAAGATCCGAACAATGGCCGTTCTTTTCCATAGGCTTCCTTCTTTGGACACTCCGCATCTTCAAATATGCAGCTGTCTTCAGGTCAGTTAAATACAGCACCGTGGTAAGACAGTAAAGGTTACACACAGTACACAAAAGGTTACCGTACACACCAATTGTCTCTACTCAAGAGCGGTAGCGAAATCTTACCGAAGGCGTCTGAAACCTGAATCATGCAGTCGTAAACAAATTGACCAGAGCCAACTTACACATGGATATTAGCATGTGTTATGTACTACTCCTTCATCCTGCATACATTGGACCAATTTCTATTATCCATTTTAGCAAAAGTTAAGCGAATTTTAATTGCATTACAACAAACCCATTTTGAATCTATTGCAGACAGACAGGCGCATATGCCCAGATCCTTTGGCGAATCCTTGTCCATGACTTCCTCCAGTTCACCATTGTGTTTACAGTCATGCTGCTGGCTTTCAGTGGTTCTTTTATTTTGGCACTCCGGGGCGAAGACTCGCTCAACACACACCATGACACAAAGTAAACGATGTTCTCTACCTTGGTGCTATCCACATAAATATATAGGCATGAATATGTATTTGAAAACTAGGTCGGTTAAATGGACAATCCTGTAACTATTTAGGTGTTCTGAGATACAATTATAATACATGTAATTTTTAGCTTAAACATGTACCATTGGTATTCCTGATTTTACAAAAATAATTGTCACTTTGATTAATTTGTCTGGCTGTTGAGTTACGCTTTTACTTCCGTTTGTCTCTATCAATAGGAATTCTTTCATCTCTTCCATTGTCTTGATTTATTTACAGTTCATTCTGGAACATTCTGTTTCTTGGGGTCCGTATACTCATCGAAGCAGAGAGAATAATTGAATACACCGAGCTACCGTAAGTGTTTTCTGTATGTCACTCTTAATGTTATACATAGCATGTATGATTTTACATGAATAGTAGTTCAACGATTTCTAGTTGCTTTAAAAATGATAACACCTTACGTGTTTTCCTGTGTGTGGAGGTTCAGTGTCCGGATTGACATTTTATACTTTAGATGAGAAGTACATTCACGTTTCCCGACACTTTTTCTTGTTGCATCAGGTCCTCATTCATAAGTCCTTGTTAATTTGAAATATCTTTATGGAGCTTATTTCTTTACTAAAACATCACGCTGATGGTCTATTAGATCTATAGTAAGCGAATATCATTGTACATAAATAAGTAGTCTGTGACAATGTTAAATTATCACTCTTACTCGGTATTTAAGAACTCATCGGACTGTGGTTCTCTTCATAGTGTTGCTTTACTTATATTTTTCAACGTTTTAATATTCGTATCCATGCCGAACTACATACTGTATTGGTCACTGTCAGTGTTGGGGCGCTTGGACCGGTTTCTTTTTCGTCAAATCAGACGTATTTCCATTCCCAATCATGTACTCTTTTATCTAGTTATGTATTAATTTGCATATCCGTGAAACCATTCGTCGTGTATTCATGCATTCATTCCTTCATTCCCATGCGTTCCATCAGGCCGATGAGCTGCATCTTGATGGTCCTGTTTCTGTTCACATGCTGTGTGGTGTTGCTTAACATCCTCATCGCTCAATTCAGCGACACTTACCAACACGTGCAGCAGGACGCGCAGAGGGGGTTAGAGGTCAATAGGGCGTGGATAGTAGCTCGAGTGGAACTCAACAGCTTCATAGTTGGAAAGGTACCGGCGGTGTATGGTTGGGTGACGGCATTGACTAGTTAAACGATATGCTAGAGTTACGTTTGCTACGCTTCCTACGGTTGATTTACATACTAGCGAATGAGTCATTTTAATCAGTCATGACTTAATCATTCAGAGAATGGCAAAAGCAATACGATAGTTCCACAGAGTTTTGACAGATTTGCGAGTTGAAAGCTAGTAAATGTAAATCGTGATGTCATAAATGAGAGTTCTCAATGATTCAAAAAATGTACGAAGTGTAAATGTTATCCATAAAACAATAGTATTATCTCTATAGGGTCACCGGACTAATTACTACAAGGAGTACGAGGATGTATGTGATATTAAACACGTGCTAGAGCGTTGGGAAAGTCCGCCACTGAACGAGATGAACAAAAATATTCAGGATATATGGGAGTCCCTTCAGTCACACAAACTCAACGTCATCACCGTCCACAACAGACTGGCACGACAGGAAACCTCCCTCATCAAACTACAGTTAGTCGATTTTACGAAACCTCTTTCGTTAAATATAGCCTGTCATATCTCGGAAACAACTCTCATCAAAATATATTTTCTTACAGCTATGAATCAAATTAAATGAAATCACGTGTAAAGTTATGACAACTGTTGACGGAGAGGTTTGCGCCTAGGGGATGTCAATCTGGTAGGAGACCAGAGTACCCGGAGAAACTCGTGTGGAATTTCGTTTTTGTAAAGACCACGCTGATCAAAATAATATTTATGTTTTGTCCTTTTGTCTTTTATGCAGAAAAACATTTTCCGTCCTTTTGTGTTAATCTCGGACTCAAAATAAAGCGAACCAAATGTCTGAAATCTCACACATCAAAATACAGTCGATGTTTGTAAAACTTCTCTCGTCTTTTTCTGAAATATCGCACTTGCAATTGTAGTACTGAATCAAAACGTCTCAATAGTTCTTTTGGGAAAAAATAATTGTACTTAATTTAATGTGTAAGGATTTTAGTATTGCTGTGATTCTGAAGACTGCAAATATTACTGTGATTTACAAAAGTTATCTTGTTTGTGTTTCTTTTTCAGAGAAAATGTTCAAAGCGTGCTTGAGATATTGCAGTCGAAATCGAATGTCCAGTCGCCTCCTAGCGGGGAACAGATAGAAGCATCCGGGACTAGTTTAAATGACGTTGTATTTGAGAACACAGAAAATTAGTCATCCTAGCCGTTTAGCATTTATTTACAACAAAGTCACAAAACATTGTATTATATTCAATAAACCTATATTTTTACGATATCTTTTTATTGCGTTGACTATGTAGAACAATACACCCTTAGGAACTATGATGCTGTCCTATCGTAGATCACGTCATTGTTGTGAAGACTATTAACGGTATTCTGGGCTAAATATAGCCACTGGGCGTATATTTGGAACACTATTCTAAAAACATAGATGACATTTTCGATTTTCAAAGTATGATATACTACTTTTTAACAGATACTACAGAAAACGGCAGTTTCCAATCAATGGCCTACCGCAGGTTAAATATGCCTACTTCATATGAAAACCTAATTTTTCATCTGATATTCAAAACTGTGACTAGTTGACTTTTTTAGACATTAGATAATTGTCCACTGGCACATGGATGTCTGGCAATGACGTGTTCCGTTCACTTAATATAGCGAAGGTGCCAAGTTTAGACGGACATTCAAAAGTATGCAAATACGTGCCAGTGATCTTGTTTTTGGTATAGTCTACCTAATATATCACGAAGAATAACGCGGAATTTCCAAACTCATAAGTACGTCTTCAAATTTGAGTAGCGTTCTAGTCAAATGGTTGGCAAACCAAATATTGAGTGTTGGACAATATATATTTAAAGAAAACACTCAAATTGACTAAATAGGCGTTACTTACACGTTACAAGACGTTAAGTATGTCTATTTCAGCAAAATACTCAAACGTGAAGTAAACATGCATTACTTACATGGAGGTATTATAAAAAAAAAAACTCTCTACAAATCCTTTAAACGGAATCATTCCCTCCAGGAGTGACGTTAGCACGTCCCGCTCCGTCTTGCGAGACAGATTCAACTGGGCGTGCCCTCATTAACGGATACCGTTATGACTTGTTTGAACCTATTATTTTTGAGTAGGAATAAAACGTAAAATAAAACATTACTATTAACAATAATTCATTTTTCCTATAATAAGAGATCAAATAAGAGTTATCGTGATTTCTCAGAATAGTTCGTATTCATTAATTTTAGCACAAAAAGAAAGTTACCAGTCTAGTGCAGTTCCATACGTACTGTTGACTTTTTTCTCTGTCGGAAATACTGACGTCTGGAGAACGAAATTCGAAATCCGGATCTGCCAAAAAGTTAAACATTAAATTGATTATGGCGGGACTAAAGACTGGGGTTTCTTAAATGTCAGCTATAACGGTACCTGCTGCTATAGGCTGGAGCGGCTCCTTTTTAAAAGATCATAACATTGGTGACCCTGGTGTCTCTACATTACCATGGCAGACCGCCTTATATACACAACATCCGGCACGTACTGTTGGATCTCAAACCGCCAAAATGCTAACAAAAGACCGCCTAAATTAACACAACATCAAGCACGTATTGTACGATCTCAGACCGCCCAACTGTTCAATAACAGACCACCTTAATGGCACGTACCGTACAATCCTAGACCACTAATTAAATGTACACAATATCCGGCACATACCGTATTATCTCAGATTACTTAAATGCACACAATCTCCGGCACATACCGTATTATCTCAGATTACTTAAATGTACACAACCTCCGGCACATACCGTATTATCTCAGATTACTTAAATGTACACAATCTCCGGCACATACCGTATAATATCAGACTACTGAAATGTACACAACCTCCGGTATATACCGTATAATATCAGACTACTGAAATGTACACAACCTCCGGCACATACCGTATAATATCAGACTACTGAAATGTACATAACCTCCGGTATATACCGTATTATCTCTGATAACTTAAATGTACACAACCTCCGGCACATACCATATAATCTCTGATTACTTAAATGTACACAACCTCCGGCACATACCGCATAATATCAGACTACTTTAATGTACACAACCTCCGGTACATACCGTATAATATCAGACTACTGAAATGTACACAATCTCCGGCACATACCGTATAATCTCAGACTACTGAAATGTACACAATCTCCGGCACATACCGTATAATACCAGACTACTGAAATGTACACAATCTCCGGCACATACCGTATAATCTCAGACTACTGAAATGTACACAATCTCCGGCACATACCGTATAATACTAGACTACTGAAATGTACACAATCTCCGGTATATACCGTATAATATCAGACTACTGAAATGTACACAATCTCCGGCACATACCGTATAATATCAGACCACTTAGATGTACACAACCTCCGGCACATACCGTATAATCTCAGACTACTGAAATGTACACAATCTCCGGCACATACCGTATAATATCAGACTACTGAAATGTACACAATCTCCGGCACATACCGTATAACATCAGACCACTTAGATGTACACAACCTCCCGCACATACCGTATTATCTTATATTACTTAAATGTACACAACCTCCGGCACATACCGTATTATCTCAGATTATTTAAATGTACACCACCTCCGGCACATACCATACCATACCAATAAAATGTGCACAACTTCCTGCACATACCGTACAATCCCAGACCACTTAAATGTACAAAACCTCCCGCACATACCGTATTATCTCATATTACTTAAATGTACACAACCTCCAGCACGTACCGTATTATCTCAGACCACTTTAATGTACACAACCTCAGGCACTACCATACCATACCATACCAATAAAATGTGCACAACCTCCGGTACATACCGTATTATCTCAGACCACTTAAATGTACACAACCTCCGGCACTACCATACCATACCAATAAAATGTGCACAACCTCCGGCACATACCGTATTATCTCAGATTACTTAAATGTATACAACCTCCGGCACATACCGTATTATCTCAGACCACTTAAATGTACACAACCTCCGGCACATACCATACCATACCATACCAATAAAATGTACACAACATCCGGCACATACCGTACAATCCCAGACCACTTTAATGTACACAACATCCGGCACATACCGTACAATCGCAGGCCACCTTAATGTACACACATCCAGCATGCACAATCAGTCTCAGATCACATACATTTTACACAGCCTCTAGCATGTACAATATTAGGCCGAGGTTATGCTCACAAAATCAGCTACACAACCTCCAGCATGCACAGGAAGTATGCAGCTGCACTGAGGAGACGCCAAAGGCAGATGCAATTTTCTATCATGCGGCTTATAATGTCTTGTTTAATCGATGTCGGTCAGCGAACGTAATGTATAACTAGTTGAAACACTCCTGTAGAAAAATGACAGCATTAAATACTAATGTCATATCGAGCAAAACGCTATCCAAGGACAACAAAGATGCAAGATGGCACTTTATGGAGTCAGTGGATGGTACATTGTAATAAGGTTAGATTGAGTACAGCGTTGGGCATATGCACACAACCAATTATTTCGTCAATGTGATACAAACTACCATTTCCATACAATTTTAATATTCTATTAAAAGAGATGTGTTTTTCTAAAGCTATTTATTTTGCTATGCAGGAACGTATATACAGCAGGTGTATTAATAAACTTTGTATATTCTACCGAAAAAACCAACAGATTATTGAAGTGTACTCTTGAAATGCCTCTGATTGTACCAATGTGTTTCTAGATTTACATTTTTTTCCCGGTGGACATGTCCCTATATATGTCTGCCCCAGAAAGCCTACCTGTTCGGGTGTACTAAGCTCAAAATTAGATTTTCTGATCAAATTTTATGTCCCGGCTTAGGTTGTGCATATTTATAAATTAGTGATGCATTTGCTATGACTATGTCCAAGTACGGACTTAGATAGCAATCTAATTCCATGGTCATAATTTACAAAAATTTGTCAAAGCCTCGAATCCACGATTCTGTTATCAAATTCTGCAATATCCATATCCTACATACAAATGTACATACTTTTGATGCAAGAGAGATTACTCCTGCAGTCCTATGGTCTAGCACGGACGTACATGTAGATAACTAATTGGGTATCGATTTAAATAATAAAAAAAATATATATATCTTGTGTCACTTTCTAAATAGTTAATAAGTAAACTACATGTGCTTTTTAGACTTTAAATTTATTGGTAGTAATTTAAAGGATTTTTTCTCGATAAACGCTAATTGTATTCCGGAAATAGGTCAATATAATGTATCTCAAATTAGAATACACTTTTCCGTGGCGGCGCTACAATCGCCGTACGCTATACTTCCGGTTATATGCAGGAGGTGCATTTCGAAACTGATTTTCACAAAAACAACATTAGTCAATCGTTCGATAAAGGTAAATAATGGTGAGAAGCTTCACACCAAGCGACGACGAGGTGGAAATCAGACCAAGGCGGAAACACCAAAGACGACAATCTCACTCGAAAAGTCCAAAAAGGGTAAATGTTCTATTTGATTCTGATTGACACAGGCATTTATTTTGACGGTTTCAACTTTCAAGAGAATGGTTGCTTATCAACTTTAGTATAATGATTTAATATATAAGAAAAGTTGTCTGTAAAACAAAGTATACAGACACATATAAATGGAATTAGATATTGCTATAATCAGTGCGTTGGGACGATTGAAATAAAACGATGTTCGCACGTACATAATGACAACAGGCGTTTGTTTGTCATGAGAAAGAAATCACACCCTACTCATATTCCATATCGGTATATTTTATGAGGTTGTGAATTTTTTTCCTCATTACTATTTTTATGACAGAAACAAATGCCTGTGGTAATGACGTACACCACTTGTCATTGCCTTTTGATTTAAGGAAAAATAATTAATATATAGAATGACATTTGTTTGTTCAATCACGTGACCCTGTGGCTCAATCATGATCACAATTTTTAAAAAAAATCATAAAATATTTTTTTTTAGATTATTCCAGTTAATGAAATATTTTAAAATGCAATCCACTTACTGATTAAATGACATTAATATTATATACATATAGTGCTTTCATCATTGATAAAATATAATGCTTATTGTGCAATATGCATGTATATGTGATTCATCATTTATGAAACACTTTACTCATTTCATTTACTTTGCCTGTTAGACATTATAAATTTATCATGAGACAACATATTTTTGGAAGTAGTTACATGTATTACACTTACTTTGTTTCCTGATTTATTCCAAGCATTTGAATAAGTATTCTCGATCAATACCAACTAGACCATACAGAAGCTTTATTTTATACAGAAGCTTTATTTTACGTCGAATATTATAAACATACAACATTAGCTACGAAGAGCTTGTATTTCGACAAACACATGTAAAGAACAAAATAACAAGATTTTTTTACAAAATACACATACATATTGAAACATTAAACAGTAAAAATACGAAGCATATAAAGCATGTACAGCACATTTGCAGAAAATAAACATATGACAAAAGCATCAAATTGTAAACTACAAAGCTGACACAAAGCACAGAGACATATGTAAAGCTGTACGTTACATTTTAAACAATACACTTCAGCCAGCACAGGACACATACGAAGCAAGAAAAAATAGGTAGCCAGAAACGCTAACCAACACATAAAGTGCAATCGCACTCGGGCCCGTCCCACCTACGGATCAGTCTGCCGAACTCGGAGTAGTTCTCCACTTTACGCAATTTGTTCGGCAGGCTGTTCCATATGCGGGCGCCCTCATAGCGGAAGAACCTCTTTCCATGCCTGGTGGTGTTGACCCTTGGAAGCTGTGCTGTATTTTCATTCCTAAATGAATAAGATGAACATTTTATATTTATTATTTCTTGTAGGTAGTCAGGAGATAACTTATTAACAATTTTCAAAACTTCACAAGCAATGAGTTTCATGCGAGTAATATGTAAATAATATGAGTCTGTGCTCGATAAAATATCCTTGTAGTCTGAGATATAATCATTTAGTACAAAACATAGTCCTCTCTCCTGGATTTTTTCCATCTTGTTTGTGCTAGATTTATTACAAAAGTGCCAAATAACAGGACAAAAATTAAAGTTTGACATTACAAAGGATTTGAGAATTAACATTTTTACATTTTTTGGTAAGGAGTTTCCAATTCGCTTGAGTACCGCCAACTGTTTTGAGGCTTTTATACATAGCTCTGAGATGTGTTGGTAGCAATACTTGGTCTAAGGTTTACACAAAAAAATCCAACACTGTATAACTTCTTGATAATGTGGTCTATTTGTATCAATGCCAAAATAGTAAGGTTTATAATTAATTGTGTAGTCTTTTGTATTAGAAACTACATTAATGGCGTTATGTATGAGATTCAATATTTTAGAACAAGATGTGATGTGATTTTTGTATGGTCACATGTTACTGAAGCCTGTTTGGAAGGGGGGAAGGGGTTAGCCTAGGTTTCATGTTTGCTTCTTCCTGTCTGACTTGCAGAGGTAACAGGTTATTCCGCCCCAAATCCTGTTCGCCCTTAGGGGTGTTTCGCCCTAAAAAAAATTTTTTTCTTTAAGTCATAAATATCATGTTAAAAGTTAAAAAAAATCTTTCTTTTGAATCAAGATATAATTACATGCCGGAAGATGACGAACGAACCTGTATATTCATCACCGAAGCCGACAACAGACATACTAATATCCAGAATATACTGCATGTTATCATTTTTCTTTCATTACCTTAATTAAGTAATGTTGTTCTTTATAAAATGCAACTGTACATGTTTTAATGTTAAAAATGTAAAATAGTAATACTTATATATATACAACTTCTAACATGATATAAACAATTAAAAAGCACCCTGTCACGTCAGCCACTTTATATCAAACATATATATATATATCATACTAAATTTATTTCTATATTAAAATACATAGATACGTATACGAAAGGGACAAAGATTAGGTACAAATTGTGTATAAAAATGAAACTTAATTAACACTTTCTCTAGAGACATATACGAAATGTATAATACTTATACTATATAGATAAGATATGGACATATAATGAATCTAAATTAATTTCTCTATGTACAATACTAATAATATATATAGATTAGGTATGGACATATAATGGAACTAAATTAATTTCTCTAAGTACATAGATACGTATACGAAATGGACATAGATTAGGTACAAATTACGTTGAGAATGAAAATAAATTAATACTTTCTCTAGAGGCGTATACAAAATGTAAATAATTCCCCAAGTACATAAATACGTATTTTAATTTTAAGCAGATGTGTACATTTTAATTATGAAATAAACGTTGGCAATATACTTAGGGAATTATCAAAATACATTAAATATACCTGTATAATTGTGTACTTACCAGTCTGGCAGGTTCTATGCTGCCAACGGTCACACACATCACATGAGATACCACGGAGTCGCACAAATGCACTAATCATCCATGACGTAATGTTGAATTATAACACAGTATTGAGAAATGTCCTATTTATGACAAGCTACCTACTCAAAATTATCTACTCAAATATATTAATTTGTATTGGTCAGTACTAACTATCAAATCTTCTCAAAATTATTTCCTTCAATTAGCAAAAAACAACATGGATGTGCGCAGAAATCAAGTTAAGAAAACATTGTCACATGGCGATGATTATGTGTACGCTAGACTAAATGTGTTAACATGGAAAAATAATATTGATGTATACCCCGCAATGTAATTAAAATTACACCATTTTTTTCTCATTTCACTATTCTTATTTATTTCTAAAATTAAATTCATTATATGTTATTATGTGTGTTAGCGTGAAGAAAATAACGTATTCCGTTTTTTGCTTTACAATGTACTTAAAAACAACACAAACACATTTTCTTTTTTAATAAAACTGATTTTAATGAAAAGGAAGACTTAGAAGACTTAATTTGTGACTTAAAACAAGGAAAAAGAAAAATGAAAAGAAAATACCAAACAATGTTTTGCCCTCAACATTTTCTTTTAGTGCGAAACAACCTAGGGCAAACGGGATTTGGGGCGAAACAACCTAGGGCAAACAGGATTTGGGGCGAAACGACCTAGGGCAAACAGGATTTGGGGCTAAACAACCTAGGGCAAACAGGATATGGGGCGAAACAACCTAGGGCAACAGGATTTGGGGCGAAACAACGTAGGGCAAACAGGATTTGGGGCGATACAACCTAGGGCAAACAGGATTTGGGGCGAAACAACCTAGGGCAAACAGGATTTGGGGCGAAACAACTCGGAACCCTTGCAGAGGACAGGAACTGCAACTAATTGATGTGATTTGTGTATACACAATAACTATCTGATTAGGGATGTTTATATTGACCAGAAAACACATGTCCTACCAGCCCTGAGTTATAATATCACATGATATATATATAATTAGTATAAGAACCAGACTGAAAACTTAGAAAAGTTAATACCTGGTGCAATGATCAGTGTACTACATAAAAAAAATGTAAAAACATCAATACAAATATGTATACATGTACAGTGATTTTTTTAAGATATTTGAGTTCTAGGTTATCTTTTCCCTGTGGTACTCACCAACTTCTTTAAAACCCACTTTATGTCTTAATAGGACTTATCAAATTGTTTCAAAACAGGTTTAGGACTTGCCTGAAAACCCCTATAAATTGCATGTATACATGTTATGAAAACTTGTAATTATCAAAGCAAACCTGCTGGGCAGGTTTCTATAATTCTTGTTCTTTTGTTTGTTTCAGGAATCCAAGCATGGGAAAAGGAAAAAGAAATCTAGATTTGATGAATCAAGGTCCTCAAGTAGAAGTCCACCTCCTAAAAGGAAGATAAAAATTGAGCCAGAATCTCCCGAGTATGACGAAAGACAGAGAACTCGCAGCAAGAAACATCACAGAGAGGAAAAACACAGAGAGGATCGAGGAAAGAGAAAACAGGAACACAAAAACAAAAGAGAGGAAAAAATTGATCCACATCGTCGCATTAAACAAGAACCTGATGAGGATTCGAGAGGGCACAGGAGAGATGATGATCCAATGAGAAGGCAAAGGAGAGAGAGAGAAAGGAATGACGATAGGAGACGAGAGGCTAGGAGGGAAAGAGGAAATAACCCATTCAGGACAGAAGATGATGGTTTTGTGTACGGCCAACAAGAAGGACAAGCTCAGCCTCAGGAACAAGCAGAAGCTGAAGAACCAAAAGACAAGGATAAACCAGACTTTGCACTCTCAGGGAAACTCACAGAAGACACGAATACATATCGAGGTGTAGTCATCAAGTACAACCAACCTCCAGAGGCCAGAAAGCCAAAGAAACGATGGAGATTGTATCCATTTAAGGGTGATGAATCCCTGCCTGTGTTACATATTCACAGGATGAGTGCCTATTTGATGGGGAGAGACAGACTGGTTGTAGACATTCCAACAGATCACCCTTCCTGCTCAAAACAGCATGCTGTGCTTCAATACAGACTCGTAAACTTTGAGCGTGAAGACGGTTCAAAGGGACGAAAGGTGGCTCCCTATATTATAGATCTTGACTCCTCCAATGGCACTTACATAAATAATCAGAGAATAGACCCACAAAGATATGTAGAATTGTTTGAAAAAGACATGCTCAAGTTTGGGTTCAGTTCTAGGGAATATGTTTTACTGCATGAGAAGACAGACACATCTGAACTAGCAGAAGAATCTGGTTCTGGTTCAGATAACTAAATCATGACATTCATCAATATCTGCCGTTTGTATATATCATAACACATGTCATCCTCGATACTCAGAGGTTGCGCTCACTTTTGCTCTCTGCACCCCTGGAATATGTCATGGCAAAATTGAAGGCACGAAAGTAGCTGTTTGACTGGTCTCAGGGAAAAAATACTGACCAATCGCAAGGCTGATATGTGTCCTTTGAAGATGGCAAAGGATAGACGCCCGACTTCAAAGCCTGTCATTTTTTACCGTTACGTGACAGCGAGATTCTTTTGATGTATATCAAATGATCGAACTAGTCTTCTAGTCTCATCAAAAAGTGGCGCACACCGATCCTTCAATTTTGCTATGACATATTCCAGGTGTGTAGAGAGCGTAAGTAAGCGAGGATGAACACATGTACACTGCAATCAAAAATTCACAAAAATGATACGAATTACATCAGTTTCAGTTTTTATTTTTTGACCATTGAAAGCATTAATATTCAATCTATATTTGTACATAAACGTTCACTGTGCATTGTTCTGATTTAACCTTTTATAAGGTTCTGTCTATGATCAGGTTATGTTATAGCAGCAGTGTGATAAAAAGAAAAATAGAAAAAATGTTTTTGTCAATGTCAAATACTAGAATCACTGATTCTAATTTACTGTGAACAAAATAGTTCTGAAAGGACAACACAAACATTTGTTGGCAGTATCAGAGATAAACAATTTCATGTTTAGAGTACTAGCTCACAGGCAGATTGAAAAACTATCACTATAGCCTAACCAATATTTTCACAGTAAAAAAAAAAAGTAAAAAATTTGACTAGTCTTAACATAAAATCCATGCGCAAAACTTGTGTCCTTACACTTGTAAACATTTTATTTTTGTTAAAAGAAAGTCAGAAAAGAAATCATTTTGGTTGAGGGTTTGTCATGTTTTCAGCGAAGTGTAGTAATATCGTTTGTTTTGCACTGGCTGCTCCAAAAAAACAACACTTTTAGCAATCAAAATATGTGTTGGTTTATCATGATATAATCACCAAACATCTTTAAATGGCTCCACTGTACACAGCCAGTCAAACCCAATTTGCAAAAGAAAACCTGGAAACATTACATATTATCCAGAAAGCATAGCAGGGTATTGCTGAAAGTATCTATTCAAGCATGATATTTCTAGCCTCAACAAAAGCATTGTCTGCATTGCTTTTATCAGTAATTCATACTGTAACATTTGGATAATGTAAGAATGAAGGTTCAACGAAAAATCTTTTTATTTGGTGTCTGTGAAAAGTAACACCTTATTTGCATCATCCATTTTTCAAATGGCAACAAGCAAATTGTAACATGCCTATGTCTCCAACATTTTGATGTAGTGTTACCTATTTCCATCACATTGTGTCAGGATTCATTTTCATCATTCCACCTACTTACATTCTGAACATATTTTTATTAAAGCTTATACTAGGACCAAGTATGAGAAAGTTTATACAAAGGCCAAGTATGAGAATACCTTGGATAAGTTTTCATTTCAGGATCCCCTGTTGCTACATAGGTTAGCTTGATCATAACATTGGTTTCTCTTAGTCTTAAAGATATTATAGAGTGCAAGTCTTAAGAAATAATTGACATGTGTGCATCTATTATGGTGGAATTTAAATGCATAACAAGGGTGAGAAAATGAAGGAAAAATGATGTAAATTATGGATATGACTAGTATATAAAAACATGGTAAATTGGGTGCATGTACCAAGGTATGATAGTTTGACCATGCATGGTTGTATGGTACGGTAGAATATTTGATGAAAGTCTGGTCAGCTGTTAAATCAACTGAATTTTGTATATCAAAATATTACATATTCAACTACCATGCTGATAGATACAATAGAAGGCACAGGTATCTCACAATCTTCTAAAATAGTCACTAAGTTTGACTACACAGTAAGCTTCTCTAAAACACCATGACATTCACGGAGGTGATTCGGATAGTTCAAAACTGTAAGCAAGGAATGGTTGCTTCAGAATCAGTATGGCCAATTGTGCTTGTTATAAGGATTTGATGAAAATGTTATAATTTTTTTTATAAAAATAAATAAAGGAAAATATCAAGAACATTGCTTTGCATTTTAAATTATAGGCATTTATACATTAGAGATCTTTATCTCATCTTTTAATAGTTATAAATACAGTAGCATACTGATACGTTATAACAGTTATAGAGAAAAACACATACAAATTAACTAACAAAGCGATGAGAAACCTAGAAAAAGTGATACGTCTTGACATTGCAGTAACACATTGATACTAAGAAATAGTAGATACACAATTATACTACAGAAAAACATTAATACATAGAAATAGTAGATACATCATTATACTACAGAAAAACATTGATACATAGAAATAGTAGATACACCATTATACTACAGAAAAACATTGATACTAAGAAATAGTAGATACACCATTATACTACAGAAAAACATTGATACATAGAAATAGCTACAACAACAACAACGATACATGGTTATACTACAAAATACTACAACAAAAAACATTGATACATAGAAATAGCTACAACAACAACAACGATACATGGTTATACTACAAAAAACATACATAGAAATAGTTACAAAAACAGTGATACATCATTATACTACAGAAATACATTGATACATAGAAATAGTTACAAAAACAGTGATACAACATTATAATACAGAAATACATTGATACATAGAAATAGTTACAAAAACAGTGATACATCATTATAATACAGAAATACATTGATACATAGAAATAGTTACAAAAACAGTGATACAACATTATAATACAGAAATACATTGATACATAGAAATAGTTACAAAAACAGTGATACATCATTATAATACAGAAATACATTGATACATAGAAATAGTTACAAAAACAGTGATACAACATTATAATACAGAAATACATTGATACATAGAAATAGTTACAAAAACAGTGATACATCATTATAATACAGAAATACATTGATACATAGAAATAGTTACAAAAACAGTGATACAACATTATAATACAGAAATACATTGATACATAGAAATAGTTACAAAAACAGTGATACATCATTATAATACAGAAATACATTGATACATAGAAATAGTTACAAAAACAGTGATACAACATTATAATACAGAAATACATTGATACATAGAAATAGTTACAAAAACAGTGATACATCATTATAATACAGAAATACATTGATACATAGAAATAGTTACAAAAACAGTGATACAACATTATAATACAGAAATACATTGATACATAGAAATAGTTACAAAAACAGTGATACATCATTATAATACAGAAATACATTGATACATAGAAATAGTTACAAAAACAGTGATACAACATTATAATACAGAAATACATTGATACATAGAAATAGTTACAAAAACAGTGATACATCATTATAATACAGAAATACATTGATACATAGAAATAGTTACAAAAACAGTGATACATCATTATAATACAGAAATACATTGATACATAGAAATAGTTACAAAAACAGTGATACATCATTATAATACAGAAATACATTGATACATAGAAATAGTTACAAAAACAGTGATACATCATTATAATACAGAAATACATTGATACATAGAAATAGTTACAAAAACAGTGATACATCATTATAATACAGAAATACATTGATACATAGAAATAGTTACAAAAACAGTGATACATCATTATAATACAGAAATACATTGATACATAGAAATAGTTACAAAAACAGTGATACATCATTATAATACAGAAATACATTGATACATAGAAATAGTTACAAAAACAGTGATACATCATTATAATACAGAAATACATTGATACATAGAAATAGTTACAAAAACAGTGATACATCATTATAATACAGAAATACATTGATACATAGAAATAGTTACAAAAACAGTGATACATCATTATAATACAGAAATACATTGATACATAGAAATAGTTACAAAAACAGTGATACATCATTATACTACAGGAATACATTGATACATAGAAATAGTCACAAAAACAGTGATACAACATTATAATACAGAAATACATTGATACGTAGAAATAGTCACAACAACAGTGATATATTTTTATAATACAGAAATTCATTGATACATAGAAATAGATACAAAAACAGTGATCCATCATTATAATACAGAAATACATTGAAACATAGAAATAGTTACGACAACAGTGATATATTTTTATAATACAGAAATACCTTGATACATAGAAATAGTCAAAAAAACAGTGATACAACATTATAATACAGGAATACATTGATACATAGAAATAGATACAAAAACAGTGATCCATCATTATAATACAGAAATACATTGATACATAGAAATAGTTACAACAACAGTGATATATCTTTATAATACAGAAATACATTGATACATAGATATAGTTACAAAAATGGTAAAATTGGGATTCCTGCCCCAACCCCAGCGGCCAGAGCGGGGCCTCAACATGAAAATTGGCTAATATTTCCAAAATTTTTGTTTTCCTCCAGATTCAGTTGAACTACAGTCCATTTCTCTGCATGGATTGAAAGATCATCAGGGGCTTTGTTTAAATTGTAAATTACAGTACTCCCAGGCCATCCGTTTTCCCTTGGGGAGGGGGTTAAGTTTACTATCGTTTATGTAGGGAAATTACATTGTCAGGTATATGTTGTCAATTCAATAGGAATTTATTCAAACTTGGTCAGAATCATCCTTGGTGCAAGAGGGTATTGCAATTAAAAATTGTGATTCCTGCCCCATCTCCGGGGGGCTAGGGTGGGGCCCCAAAGGGAAATTTATCAATATTGTTCTTCTTCAGACTTTTATGTACTACAATCAAATTCTATGCATTGATGACAATTCAGTCAGGGGCTTTATCTATTTTTCAATTAAAGTTCCCCTGGGCCATTCATTCTCGCTTGGGGAGAGGGTAAAGTTGACTTTAGTTTATATAGGGAAACAACACCTTTTTTTGTCCATTTGTATCGGGAAATTATTCAAACTTGGTTGGAATAATTTCGATACCAGATGGCTATTAGACGGTATGAAAAAAAAATAAGACCCCGTTCCATACCCAGGGGCTGGAGGGGTGGGGCCAAAATGGGGAAAATCAAAAGTTAAAAAATCTTCTTCATGAGACTCAGATGTTTTACAAACAAACTATGTCTTGTCCATTTTCAGCAAGAAATAATTCAAACTTGGATGGAATAGTTATAATGAAATTGAAATCAAATAGTATCAGAAAGTTAGATCCTGACCTATCCCAGGGGTTGGCCAGGGAGGAAAATTGGCTAAATAACAATATATATTATATTTCTCAAAAGCAAAATGATTTATTTGAATAGTTTTTAAAGTTCTCAACCTTTGGTGACATGGCAATTAATTAAAACTTATGAAAGTCAATTCTGATGGTTTGTCCCAGATTCTGTAGCTTGTGCAAGTCTACATATTGACGTTATGTAAATAATAGAGTCCGTCATTGAAGGACCATCAAACAACATGATGGTGTACGCTGCTAGTTCAACACACTCAAATTATAAAGAAACAAAACAGAAACATATTTTGAATGTCATATTTAATTTTTGTTGATGAATTCATACGTTCGATATGAAAAAATTCTGACTCGTCATCGCGGTGCGCGGGCTCAGCTGCGAGTGTACAGCAGCCATCCTTTTACTAGCTCGAAGGGGAGACCCGCTGAATTTTGAGGTTCTACATATTTTGGAACATGAAGCTGAAGCTTAAGAAACCAGAAGTGGCTTGAAAGGACGAACCGATTTGATATGTCAGTTTGCTATTCGACTGCATTTCAGATATAACGGGACCACATGGATGTGTGATCGACGTTGTTTTCGATTTGTACCGGGTGTTGGTACTGACACAAGAGGCAGAATGGTTAGCTGGAAGGAGACTTTCTAGAGCCGTACATGACTTGTCAAAATCCGAAAATATGTATTCATACGCATAGGCAATGTTAATCTTGGCAGTTGCATTGAGTCAAACTTGAGTAGAAATTGAAATATTGTGATATGACGTAATTATGCAATGACCATTTGGAGAAATATTCTTAATATACCAAAGACTTCGCAAAGCCTCGTGTTGTTCTAACTTAAGAATCTGCCTTCGCGGTTTATCATCCCTATCTGATCGCAAGAGAATGAAACATATTAGGCATATTTATCCTATTAAGGCGCAATCAGTGAACTTTACTATAAAGTCAAATCAAATGAATTGAGAATTGAAAACGTTATTTGACATGTGACGTCCTATTCTTTTAGGTATTTTGTTAAATGAAATCTGTGGAAATCGGCAAACTGGGAGCGTGAACCAGATGGAATCTCCAAGAGAGGAAAATGTCGTGGGTGGAAATATGGAGGATGGAGCCCTTCTGGAAATCATGTATGACACGCTACCATCTCATGTTAACCTGATCAGTGTGGATTGACGGAGGATCCTTGCTGCAAACTCTTGTGAGAAAGTTGGGATACAACAGCTCAGAGACGACCTTAGGGAGATACTTCGACGCCTAAGGAATGCAGAAAGACTAAGAAAGGGAAGGAAGAAGAGAGCAAGGAAGAGAGCAGATTTTGTCAAAGATCCATTCCAGTTTTCAAAATAATACCTTCAATTATTGGCAGCCCCATCAAGTGCCTAGGACCTGGAATGGAGTCTGGCATCTATCAACCAGCCAATAGAGGCTTCTTTGATGACCTAACGATCACTACCACTGTAGGTCCAAGAGGAGGAGATACCTTCAATTATGGCAGCCCCATCAAGTGGATAGGGAACAGTTTGATAACACTCAGTGACAGCCGAACCACAAGAACACCCAAAGTCAAGTGCGCCAGTGGATGAAGAAGATCAACAAGTCAAGACTTCCTGGGAAGTACAAAGCATGGATTTACCAATATGGCATGCTACCAAGGCTCACATGGCTGCTGCTACTGTATGAAATACCAACCTCAACATGAGAAGATGGTGAATAGGTACCTGCGGAAGTGGCTTGGGGTCCCAACAAGTTTCACATCAGTTGGGCTGTACAGCTGTTTGGCAGAACTACAACTA